GGCCTCAGAGGGAGGTGGCTGGACCCCACAGTCCTGGCTGATATGCAAAGGGGATTGTTCCCGGCCTGCCTTAGGAATCGGTGCAACTCTTTGCACGTGAGTGAGAGTCATCGCGGCTAAGACGACCGTGTCTATATCACAGGAATCGGGCCCGATTCCTAATCAATGGCCAGCCAAAAAAAGCCCCACCTGGGCTTTGCCCATTGAAAGCAGGGCTTTGCACCGGTGCAGCCATGCTGGGGGCTGTCACAGTGCCTCGCTCACAGCCCCTCTTGCCTGAGACACTGCTGGAGTCCGAGCGACTGCCTGTCCTTGCACACTGCAGTCCACACAGGGGAGGCAGGAAGCGCTCAGAGACTGGGCTGGGAGCTAGAGACGTTAAAGACCAACCTTCCGGGCGCTGGATGCAGGTGTGCTGGTTGTCACTCAGGAAGAAGCCGTCCCGGCAGTGGCACTCGTAGCTGCCCATCATATTGACACAGGTTTGCTGGCAGCCTCCGTTCCCCTCCGAGCACTCATCCAGATCTGCAAGGGCAAGCGAGAGAGGGAATCAGGGTAGTGTTCACCTGGGCACTCACCCTCGGTCTCAGGACAGCTGCACAAAGACACCGCCCTGCAGCACGGCGGGAGGCAGTACGGTACTCCCCCGTGCTCTGATGCCAAGGGCTCCCCCAGGCGCCTGCCATGGAACCTGCCAGTGTTTTAGAAAAGCCTCAAACAGCATAGACGAAAGCCACCAGTATTATCAGTGGGGAGACAGAGGCACACAATGGTTACATGGAGGCACCGGGGGGAGGGCATTTCTCAGCAGCTGGGCCACCGGAGACAGGACACCTGGGTTTTGGTCCGGACTCTGCCACTGACTCCCTGTGGAGCCTTGAACAAGTCCCCTACTCTCTCTGTGCCGTGCCTGATCCCTCTATACAGATGGGATGGGGAACTTACCCGCCCCTGTAAACCACTGCAGCGCAGGCACGGAGTTGGTTAACAGCAGGGCTAATTAAGCCTGACAACCAGAGCCAAGAGCCATGCCAGGCCCCTGGGCAAGGTGAGAGAGTCCCAGCTCCACAGGGACGGGCCTCAGGCAGGGCCAAGGGCAGCCAGCCCTCAGCACTGCCCAAATCGCAGCATGGCCCCCCCAACGTGTCACGTGGCACCCCTGTTTTTCCAGGCAGCTCTCATGTCCGGTCCCTGGCATGTCCCCCCCAGTCCTGCCTGGAGTGCACCATGCGTCACTCCCACCTCCGCAGGCAGCCCTAAGAGCTGCCCGGAGCATGCCACGCAGCCCTCCGGCAGCGACTAAAGGGCTCAGGGCTGTCACAGCAGCGGCTGGAGTCCCAGGACCCTTTAGAATCAATTGCCCCTGTTGCCCCACTCTCGGTGGGCATGTTTGGCAGGTCTAACCCCTGCTCAAACACAGGGAACCTGTGGGTCAGAGACAGGGTCACACAGGCACTCTCTGGCGGACGAGGAGGAAGAGCCCAGGAGCCCGGACTCTTGGGTCCCTGTTTGAGCTCAAGACACAGCACAACACGAGACGCACGGGAAGAGGCTGTGGAGACAGTGCAGAAACTCGAGTTGCACGTCTTAATTCGACCTTCCCCCGTAGGGCAGATCTGGCCACAGGCTCTGTCCCCTCCCCACAGCTAGGACGACGTGAGGGGCCAGGGGTTTGTCTGCGAGAGCACAGGCGCCCACTTCTGCTCTCACCATAGGGAAGGGTGCTCCACTCTTCCCGCGCCTGCTCTGCCCCCACCCCTTCCAAAGGTGGAGGCACCTCTTCCCCCAAGCCTCCACCCCACCTCACCTCTTTCCACCCCCTTCCTAAGCACACTGCATCCTCCCTCCCCCACTCCCTCCCAGAGCCTCTGGTGGTGGGAGATGCTGGGAGGGAGGGGAAGGTGTAGATCAGCAGGGCTTCCAGTGAAGGAGAGGTGCTGGAGGGAGGGGTGAAGAGAAGAGCTTAGTTGCCGATGGGCGCTGAGCACCTGCTAATTCCCTCCTCGCCCTCCCTGCCTGGTGAATGTCCGGCATGTTGGTACCTTAGTGCTGGATCCCTGGGAAGCCATGCTGGCCGGCTGTTTAGCATTTCTGAGAGCCCTACCCCATATTCACAGCCTGAATGTGGCCTTTGGAGCCTCACTTTAGGTTCTGGGTTTGAACAGCTGGGCCAAAATGCTTCCCAGTAAATTTCTCCGGCCCTTTTACAGGCCTGAAAATGCCAGATGTTGGTCAATTGGAGCCAAGCAACCGCACCTGGAGAATGAATTCTGAATAGACTCAGATTCCCCAGCAGCTTCGCCTTGCTGCTGCCCTCTTGCCTATTTTCATAGAACACTAGAACTGGGACCTTTAGAAATCAAGTCCAGTCTCGTCCTCATGGCAGGACCAAGCCTCCCTGATAGAAGTCTATCTATCCTGCTCTTAATTATCTCTAGTGATGGGGATTCCACAACCTCCCTAGGCAATTTATTCCAGTGTTTAACCACCCTGACAGTTAGGAAGTTTTTCCTAGTGTCCAACCTAAACCTCCCGTGCTGCAGTTTAAGCCCCTTGCTTCTTGTCCTATCCTCAGAGGTTAAGAGGAATAAGTTTTCACCCTCCTCCTTCTAACACCCTTTCAGGTACTTGAAAGCTACTAGAAAGTCCTCTTGGTGTCTTCTTTTTTCCACGCTAAAAAAGCCCAATTCTTTCAGCTTTCCCTCATAGCTCATGTTTTCTAGATCTTTAATCATTTTTGTTGCTCTTCTCTGGACCCTCTCCCATGTCTCCACATCTTGCTTGAAATGTGGCGCCCAATACTCCAGTTGAGGTCTAACCAGCACAGAGCAGAGTGTAAGAATAACTTCTCTCTTGCTCCCAAAACACCTGCTAACGCATCTCAGAATCATGTTTGCTTTTTTGCAACAGTGACACACTGTCGACTCATACTTAGCTCATATTGACCCCTGGCTCCTTTTCTGCCGTACTCCTTCCTAGAGAGTCGCTTCCCCTTCTGTATGTGTGCAACTGATCGTTCCTTCCTACTTACTTCAGACCATGTCTCCATTTTGTCCAGATCATTTTGAACTATAACCCTTTCACTTGCAACCCCTCCCAATTGGGATCATCTGCAAACTCTCTATGCCAAGGGTGGGGAACCTCAGGCCTGGGGGCAGGATGCAGCTCCTTGCCTGCTTGAATCGGGCCCTCGAGGCTCAGCCCCTCTACCCCCAGCCTTGGGGAGCCCACCCTGGCATTCCAGCCCCCTTGTTGCCCCACCACGGGGCTGGAGCACACAAAATCTAGTAGGCTGGGCCCCCCTAAGCTCTGGTGTGGGAGGGGAATGTGGGGACAGTATTTCTCCTTCTCGGTCGGGTGCTATGGCAGTGAGGGTTTGGGTTTTTTGGGGTTTTTTTGCTTCTCACTTGTGTGTTTTCTCCCTGACACCTGACTCCAGAAAGGTTCCTCACCCTGAGCCCTGCTTTATGCCATTAGCTACACAGTTGATGAAGGTACTGAACAGACCCCGTCCCTGCAGACCCCCACTTGCTATGCCCTTCTTCTCATTTTGGTTTAATACAACTAAGCCCAAAGGCTGTTTGCTTGCTGCGAGCAGCAGCTTGGCCGGAAGGGGAGCTGCAGTGTCCCTTTCTCCACATAAGCAGGAATTACCGTGGAGCTGGTGGCAATTGCTTGGAGCACCGTGCCTTCAGCACGAGCACCGCGGGAGCAGAGGCTGTGGAAGGAACACACACACTGAAGATCATTTCCAGCCACTCCCCTGCAATGGCTGACAGAGGTCTGGGGAGCGCCCCCTGGGGTGCTGAGCTTCTGGGGCAGACCTCTGACTCCCCATGACCTTGACTGAGATTTCTCCCACCTCATCTCTCTGCCAGCCACGGGTGAGGCTGTGCAAGCCAACCCAGAGCCGTCAGCCCCACGGGTCCCCTGACATCCCGTCAGCATTCAGCATCTCAGCCCGTCCGCGCTACAGCCCACAGGTTTGTCAGACTGCCACGGTCCCAGAAAATTGCTACCCTGCCCTGAACGGCAGCTACGGGGGGCGGGGCATGAACCTCTCCTAGGGGCACAAGCATGCAAACCCAATGGGCATGTGAAGAGCTGCACTTCTGAATGAGCCACAGAGACATTCTTCACATGGCCCGAGAGCAAGGACCTCGGAGCTAGGGCAGTGTCAGACACGAAGGCTGGCTCAACAGACAGAAGAGCACCCTCCTTGCCTTGGAGCTGCACTCACTTCTTAGCTGCAAGAAACACCGCCCTGTAGGGGACGGGTGACAGTAGGACCCGCTGCAGCTGGACTGGCTTCCCATTACTGCAGTGATACCCAGGAACTGCAGCAAGGGATGCGGGCCCCACTGTGTCGGGTGCTGTACAGAAGAGTCACACAAAGGCAAGTCTCTGTCCCAGAACCTCACCGCCTCGTGGCTGTATTTCTCCTCCCGTGCCCTGTGCTCATAGCACTGAACGGGAATCCGGGCATAGAAAGACACGGGGACTTGTCACCCCATCCAGGCGTCAGACAGGATGCAAGAGGTCTGAGGAAGTGGGATGGGGAAGAGAAGGCAGCAAAATGGACCAAGCTCAGCAGAAAGCGAGAGGGCTCAGCTGGCCCCTTTCCTGCCCAAAATGAACATGCTGCTGTTCTGTCAGAGGGGAATCCAGGGATGCCTGAGCACTCGCCGTGTCATTCTGCACCTCCCCGAGCAGTAACTCTGCCTATGGAGGGATTATTCCAGTATATCTGGGGACAGAATTCTCAGCCTCTCTTCTCTTCGGAGACACCAGGTCAGCTTACAGCAAAGGCTCATGCAAGCCCCCGGGCTGCAGTTAGGCTACACAGTTGAAGCCCCCCTCTTATCACCGTGGCCTGAAATGCTTAGATCTGCGGACAAATCTTGAGATCTTTCCTGCCTGGACCTTCTTGTAGAGAGCCATGAAGAGCTGCAGAGAAATGGACCAGAGCTCTCCCCCACAGCCATGCAGGGAAAGCATCAGGATGAGAGGCGAGAGGCCCAGTGCCAAAGAAAACCTCCTGTGAACTCGAGCGTTTCAAGCCCAGCAGTTAAGAGGAAAGCTGAGCTCCTTGGACATCAGCAGTGGGGCTACGGAGCGGACTCCGGAAAAGCTGGACTAGCAGGTTGATGACAGAGTGCAGAGTGAAAGAATTCCACATCAGGCCCGAAAACCCGAGCAAATGTCTGAGCAGCTAATTAAAATACACACACGCTCCCCCATACACAGGCACAAGGATGCACACAGTCCGCAGGCTCCTCCTTACAGACACACATGTGCACTCCCACAGAGACAGCTGCACACACACACACACACACATCTGTGGACACACACTTACACAGACACACACTTCGGCAAGTATCAGAGGGGTAGCCGTGTTAGTCTGAATCTGCAAGAACAAAGAGAAGTCCTGTGGCACATTACAGGCTACCAGATTTACTGGAGCGAAGTGGGTCTTTGCCCACGAAGGTTACGGTCCAATAAATCGGTTAGTCTATAAAATGCCA